TATCTGCGGAAACTAAACCTTTCGATCCGAGGGATTTGCCCGCGCCGCAGACGGGCCGATCCTGGCAGGCCGGGTCGGACGACGTGCCGCGGAGGAGGCAGCGTCGCCGCCGCGGGAGCGGCTTCTGGGAGAGGGGCGCCGCCACGCAGGGAGGCAGGGGTGGTGGGGTCCAGCAGCGGGGAGAGGAGGTCGAGCGCGGAGAGCCGGCCGGCGCCGCCCGGTGGCCCTCGGGCAGACCGCACTTGGAGGAGGAGACCGAGGAGGACCAGCTGCGGGTGTGGCAGGAGGGCCCCCGGGCCAAGACAGGCGGTGGGGCCCCGTCGCTAGTGGGCCGGACGTGTCCCAGACTCGGCGGTGCAGCGGGTGCAGCCGGAGGAGGGTATGCCGGAACTGACGGCGGAGTGAACGAGCTCTTCTCCGGTGTCCAAAGTTTGGCTGCTGGGCTGCATGTCTGACGCAGCCGCCCCAAACTGACTTGAAATCCACGGTTAATAGTGTACCCCGCAGGAAGGCTCTTGGGGAGTTGCCAAGTCGGTCCCAATGCAATTGTGCGATCAGCTCTTCGGCACGGATGAACCATGGCTTCCAGCCCGAGGGCGGCATCTGGCAGCGGGCGGCGTCGGTCCCGCTGTGGGTGCCGGACGGGTAGCGTTACGTGGGCGCCCGTTGAAGATTTCTTCCTCGGACTTCGTTCACCGCGAAAGGTCGCATCTCCAGTTACGCTTGGACTCGGGCGCTAAAACCGACTCGGCCCCACCCGTGACCGCGTTGGTGAGGCACCCTAGCTCGCAAGAGCGTCTCTCGTCGGGTATGTTGGACACTACAATTTTTTTCCCATTTAAACGAATCTGAGTTAGACCTCTCTAACTCGGAAAGAAAACATCCATTCTGAAATAACAGCTTTCCCCAATGGACAATTTTTATTGCCCCCTTGTGGTTATAAACCAGTGTCCTATGCTTTTGACCTCTGCTAAAGGTACCAGTCCTTGGTACAAAGTACCAACATTCGTGTCATCCTTTGCTGGTTTTGGTCATTCATTGCTGGATTGATCACTGGCTTGATGCTGCGTAGTGATATGAAAATCAAAAAATAAGAATTTAGAGTTCATTGTCACGTACATTTAAAATCTATATGAAATGTTTGGTGCATATTGTGTCATTAGTTAAAATGAAATATTCTGGGGCCTTTTTTTTCCTTTCATGATGGAGTCTCCGGAGTAAATTGGCTGCCAAATAAGGGCAAGGTTAAGGTGACTTCCTAATCTTCATTTTTCATCAATTTACAGTTTTGGTGCAGTTCTACAAATGTTCAGTTTCTAAAGAGGGAAAAATGACAGCAAAATTCTCAGTTGGATGTTGCGTCCAGGCATTCGATGAGTTGGGAAGATGGTGTGCAGCTGAAGTAGTCAAAAATGAAGAATGGTCTTACCTAGTGAGTTTTATTGGATATACTGGGCGTGATATCTGGGTGGACGAACGTTCCGTAAGACATCCAGTACCTCCCTATGAAGAGTATCATCAGAGACGTAAGTAACATGCTCATGTTCCATTTTAACATTCAATTGTTGATCTACCGGTATATCCAAAGTCCTTT